TGGATGAAGTTACAGATCCTAGTTTATCAATATTAGCAGAAGGTCACCAATGATATTGAAGTTACCAATATCCAGACTTTTTAAATAATGAAGATGAATTTATAGAGTTTGATTCTTATTTAGTACCAGAATCAGACTTAGAAGACGGAGCACTAAGAATGTTAGAAGTAGATAATAGAATTATATTACCTGAACTAACACATGTAAGATTTATAACAACTGCAGCAGATGTTATTCATTCCTTTGCTTCACCAGCTTTAGGTCTTAAATGTGATGCTTATCCAGGTAGATTAAATCAAATGTCTGTTCTTATAAACAGAGAAGGGACATTTTATGGACAATGTTCAGAAATATGTGGTATATTACATAGTTCTATGCCAATAGTAATACAATCTGTTTCTTTAGAAAAATTTTTAATTTGACTACAAGAATTATAAATTTAATGTTATTATATGCATCCCTATATCTATTATTATAATGTGGTATTACTTATAGGAGAGATAAAAGTATACCATACTCAAGAGCTACAATACTTTTATTTTTGTACTTTTTTTTTAAGTAGATGTGTTAATATTCTAGAATATTGTTTAATTGCTCATCTAAGCCACAGGCATTTATATGTTTATTTTTACAATAAATGCAATAACTAAGTAAATTATGTCTTACCTCTATAATAGGACAATGTTTTTTATATCTTTTTATAGAAAAGTTAATATATAATATATTAATATTGTTTAATATAAATATAGGTAGTATTGCCTTAAAATATTTTAAGCCTAATTAAACATTTTTATTTAAAAATTTTAGGTTATCTACTTATATATTTAAATTGTTAAACCCCAATTTTACATTTAATGTAAATTCGAGTTTATTAAATATTATATATATTTTTCTATTTTTAGATAAAGCTTTAAAATGTTAGATTAAATAACCAAATATTCTAACTTTTAAACTATATAAAATACTATAAAAATTAATAGCTATACTTTATATTTCAGCTATGTAATAGTTTAATATTAAAAAAGGATTATTTATATTTTTTTTATATCTAGAAAATTAATAAAAAGGAATTTTTAAGTTATATATATTAACTGAAATTAATACTAATGGCTATAAGAGTGAAATATTAGATATTTTATTTTTAATCTGTATATTGTTTGGTATTTTTGTTATTATAACTAAAAATCCAATAATATCAGTTTTATGTTTAATTGGTTTATTTGTGTCAATATCAAGTTACTTAATAATACTAGGTTTAAATTTTATAGGTTTATCTTATTTATTAGTATATGTTGGTGCAGTTTCCATTTTATTTTTATTTATATTGATGTTGATTAACATAAGAGTTTCTGAACTTATAACTGAAACCAATAATAGTATACCTTTAGCTTTTATAACTGGTACTATTTTTTATTACTTTGTTAATATTATATTACCTTATAATTTTATAAGATTAAGTACATATATTAATAAACTTAATCTATTTTTTAATTATTTATTATATTCTAATAATAATGAAATAAATGAAAATTTAGATAATACTAATAATATAATATATGTTATATCTAATGTTTGAGATAATAATTTATCAGAAAATATCCATATTACTAGTATAGGTAATATTATGTATACAAATTATTCTATATGACTTATAATAACATCAATAATATTACTATTAGCTATGGTAGGTTCTATTGTTATAACCTTAAAACAAAGAGGTTAGATATAAAATATAAATTAAAATTGTAAATACTAAATATAATGTTATCATCTAAATGATAGATTTATATAATAAATCTAAAGAAAGATACTTTACTTTATATACATATATAATATAAAGAGTATAATTTAATGGGTAAAATAGGAAGCTTCAAACTTCAAAATACCAGTTCAAACCTGGGTACTCTTGCTTTTTAATATTTATTAACTTAAAGGTAAAGATTCCTTAACTTAAAGGTAAAGTATACTTTTGATAAGAGTAGGATTAGCGTTCGATTCGCTAAGGAATCCTTAATTTTAATTTAAAAGTTTAGTATTTAAATTGTTAAATTAAAATGTGATATAGAATATCTAAAAAAAAAAAATAAAGATAATATGTCTAATATAATAAGAAGTAATTTCCAAGCACATCCTTTTCATTTAGTATCGCCGTCACCTTGACCGGTTTATAGCAGTATTTCTTTATTGGTTCTTACAACATCAGGTGTTTTAACTATGCATGGTTTTTATACTATTGAATTTTGTTTAATCCTAGCCTTACTTACATTAATATTTACAATGTCTTTTTGATTTAGGGATATCATATCTGAGGGTACATATTTAGGAAATCATACTTTAGCAGTACAAAGAGGTTTAAATATGGGTGTTGGTTTATTTATTGTATCAGAAGCCTTTTTTTTTCTAGCCATTTTTTGAGCTTTTTTTCATAGTGCATTATCACCTACTGTTGAATTAGGTGCACAATGACCACCTATGGGTATAGAGTCCATTAATGCTTTTGAATTGCCTTTATTAAATACAATTATTTTATTATCATCAGGTATAACAGTAACATATGCCCACCATTCCTTAATACAAGGAAATCGTAGTGGTGCTTTATATGGTTTAGTTTTTACAGGTATATTAGCTATTATATTTACTGCATTTCAAGTAATAGAATATTCTGTTTCTAGCTTTACCTTATCTGATGGTACTTTCGGTTCTTGTTTTTATTTTGGAACAGGGTTTCATGGTTTACATGTTATAATTGGAACAGCTTTCTTAGCTGTAGGTTTGTGAAGAGTTTTAGCTTATCATGTAACTGAAAATCACCATCTAGGTTTAGAGGCGGGTATATTATATTTACATTTTTTAGATGTTGTTTGATTTTTTTTTTTTTTATCTATATATTACTGAGGTTCATAAGTACCTATTATATATATATGTATATAAGATTTTATATCACTATACTAAATACTTACTATGAGGAAAACCTACTTAAAGGGTATAGTTACTGATATGGCATTGTATGGTGCAGCTAAATTTCAAGTTAACACCTAGTAATATGAAAGCTCTTAAGACTTTTTTTACTAAAAATCACAAATTTATGTAGTGAAACAATAAATAAGCTTATTCTTATCTAAAATAAACTTTTATTTAGTTAAATATATATAAGCTTATCTAAAATAAATAATAATATATGTATTTTTTTTTTTTGAGTTTGATGATGGCTCTGATTGAACGCTGTACAAATGCTTGACACATGCTAATCGAACGCTATTTTTATTAATATTTTAAAATAGAGTGGTGTACAGGTGAGTATTTGATATTTTGGCTACCTTAGAGTAAGGGAAAAAATCCCTTATATAAATATTTATTATAATAAATAGTAAAAAGGAAATAAGAAATATTTTCGCTCTAAGTCGATTATAAATATCCACGGTAAGGTAGTAGTTAAGGTAATGGCTTAACTAGCCTAATATCGTAGTCGTAACTGAAAGGTTTATCGACCACATTGGGTCTGAAAAAACCCCAATATGTATAGTACAGCAGTGGGGAATATTGGTCAATAGCCTAACGGCTGAACCAGCAATTTGTGGGAATGCCTTTTTATTTTAATAAAAAGAGTATATTAGGTTTAACTTTATATATTATTTTTATTAAATTAAGAATTCAATACCTTTGAATGTAATTCTAGATAAAATATTGATAATGACAAAGTTTTATCTATATGTCTTGACCAAATCTTGTGCCAGCAGTCGCGGCAACACAAGGAAGACAAGTGTTATTCATCTTAAATCGGTTTAAAGGGTACCTAGACGGTGAATTAGGCCTTAAATGGAACGTTTTTACTAGAGTTATATATGCATGAGGACTGTGTGAGTATTACCAGAGTAGAGATGTAATTTTTTGATACTGTTAAGACTGGTAAAGGCAAAAGCAAACCTTTATATATTAACTGACGTTGAGGGACGAAGGCTTGGGGCGCAAACAGGATTAGATACCCCAGTAGTCCAGGCAGAGAATTATGAATGTCATAGAATAGATATAATATTTATCCTATAAATGAAAGTGTAAGCATTCCACCTCAAGAGTAATGTGGCAACGCAGGAACTGAAATCATTAGACCGTTTCTGATACCAGTAGTGAAGTATGTCGTTCAATTTGTTAACCCTCAAAAAACCTTACCACAATTTGAATATATTTAATAGATATATATTTTTATATCTTTATTTATACAAGCGTTGCATTGTTGTCTTCAGTTAATGTTGTGAGATTTTGGTTAGATTCATTAAATTAACGTAATCCTATATTCTATTTAAATATTAATAGATTAGTTCACCGCTATATTGGATATTGATAACCGGGAGTAAGACTAGTCGTAATGACCTTAATATTGTGGGCAATGAGACGTGCCACATATGCCTAAACAAAGGGGTGCAAAAATGCAAATTTTAGCTAATCCCTAAAATAGGATATAAAATAATATGGATTGTAGTCTGTAATTCGACTACATGAAAAAGTAATTACTAGTAATCGTGTATCACTATGGCACGGTGAATATTATCTCAGATAGGTACTAACCACTCGTCAGGCGCTGAAAGGAGTATGTGCAATAAGTTTGGTTAATGTTTATATATTTTATATTAATAGTTTTAGGTATACAAACATAGAATCTTCGTATGCGTGACTCTAATTAGTGTTAAGTCGAAATACGGTTCGTGTAGTGGAAATTGCACGGGATTAATTAATATTAACAACAAATCTTTAAAAGGAAGGTTCCGTTTGTTGGTATGACGGGTTGAGCTGTAAACTCAATAGTTAAGGCTGTCAAAGGTTCAATTCCTTTTCTTCCTATTTTTAAACTAATATTTAATAAAAATAGTATAATAAAACAAAATAATAATAAAATAACTACTATATACAAGAAAAATAATAATTTTAATAGTAATAATGAGAATACTTAAAAGTAACCCTTTATTTAGATTAGTAAATGATTTTTTAGGTGATGCACCACAACCCTCTAACTTAAGTTATATGTGAAATTTTGGTTCTTTATTGGCACTTTGTTTAGTTATACAAATAATAACAGGTGTTACTTTAGCAATGCACTATAACCCTAGTGTACTAGAAGCATTTAATTCTGTTGAGCACATTATGAGAGATGTTAATAATGGATGATTAATACGTTATTTACATTCAAATACAGCATCAGCTTTTTTCTTCTTAGTTTATTTACATATAGGAAGAGGTTTATTTTATGGGTCATATAAAGCACCTAGAACATTGGTTTGAACTATTGGTACAGTTATATTTATCTTAATGATGGCTATAGCTTTCTTGGGTTATGTATTACCTTACGGTCAAATGAGTTTATGAGGTGCAACCGTTATAACTAACTTAATGAGTGCTATACCTTGAGTTGGACAAGATATAGTCGAGTTTATTTGAGGTGGTTTTTCTGTTAATAACGCAACTTTAAATAGATTTTTTGCTCTTCATTTTGTATTACCGTTTGTATTGGCTGCATTGGTCTTAATGCATTTAATAGTATTACATGATGGTGCTGGTTCAAGTAACCCATTAGGGGTATCAGGTACTTATGATAGATTACCTTTTTCACCTTATTTTATATTTAAAGATTTAATAACAATCTTTTTATTTATATTAATTTTATCTATCTTTGTTTTTTTTATGCCTAATGTTTTAGGTGATAGTGAAAATTATGTTATGGCTAATCCTATGCAAACACCTGCTGCAATAGTACCGGAATGATATTTATTACCTTTCTATGCTATATTAAGATCTATACCTAATAAATTATTAGGTGTTATAGCTATGTTTTCTGCTATTATTATATTATTAACTCTACCTTTTATGGATTTAAATAAGGGGAATGGGATCCAATATAGATCTATAAGTAGAATAGCTTTTTTTATATTTGTAGCTGATTTCCTGTTGTTAATGAAATTAGGTGCAGTTCATGTAGAAAGTCCTTTTATAGAGTTAGGACAAATCTGTACTATAATATATTTTATGTATTTTCTAATAATAATACCATTTATTTCTCTTTTAGAAAATAGTTTAGTTGATTTAAATAACAACTAAAAAAATATATATATATATAGTTTAGTTAAATAAATAACAACTAACAAATTAACAAATCTATATATATATATATTATACATAAATGTTTGGTAATAAACATATTTTTTTTCCTTATAAAAAATAATAATTTTGAATAAAAATATAATAATATTTATATTTCTAATTTGTCTATTCTGTTATGTTTTTATTCCTATTGATATGTTTACTTTATTTAGTTCAAGTTGTATAAACGATTTATATAGTAAAATTTATTTATGTTTTGATCTTTTTATACCTAAAGATATCATTATTCAAATAAATTTTCTAGAACCGCAAGAATTCCCATATCCAGAACCACAACCCGCACCATATCCAGATCTAGATCCATATCCTCCAATGTATGGGGATGTAGATGATATATATGATGAGGATGAGGAGATTGAAAGACCAGGTTTTCCTGAAGCTCCTGATGAAATTTAGTTAGTTAGATCTATCTTTTATATTAAAATTTTTAATACAACTATAATAATATATAGTAATAAACATATCTTTTCTAAGTACAAAAAATATAAATAATGTTTTATACACTTGAATTAAATAAAGAAAACTACAATAGTCCCCTAGATCAATTTGAAGTTAGAGATTTATTAAGTATAAAAGCACCAATCCTAGGGGATATAAATATTTCTATAGCTAATATTAGTTTATACTTAATTATAGCTACTTTTATCGCTTTAGCGCTAAATATAATAACTAGTAACTATAATAAAGTAATGTTAAACAGTTGATCTATAGGACAAGAATCAATATATCATACAGTTATTGGTATAGTAAAAAGCCAAATAAATGAAAAAAAAGGACAAGTTTATTTTCCTTTTATCTACGCATTATTTACATTTATATTAATAAATAATTTAATAGGTATGGTACCATATAGTTTCGCTTCAACAAGCCATTTTATTTTAACATTTTCACTTAGTTTTACTGTTGTTTTAGGTGCAACTATATTAGGTTTTCAAAAACATGGTTTAAAATTCTTCTCTTTATTTGTACCTTCTGGGTGCCCTTTAGGACTATTACCCGTTTTAGTTTTAATTGAATTTATATCATATTTAGCTCGTAATGTATCATTAGGTTTAAGACTTGCTGCTAACATGGTTAGTGGGCATATGCTCTTAAGTATTCTTAGTGGTTTTTGCTATAATATGTTTAGTTTAAGTATCTCGTTAGCTGCAGGTTTACCTATACTATCCTTTATTACATTATTTTGTGGTTTGGAACTTGCTATCTCTTTTATACAGGCATACGTGTTTGTAGTTCTTTCAGCTTCTTATATAAGAGACTGTTTAGAATTACATTAATTGACCATAGACCTATATCAGGGCAATATTAATTTAGACAAAATGGGATACTTAAAGGGTACACCAGTAAAAAAGTTAGACGTTTCGCTTTCGTGAAAACCGGCTCTCGTTGTTATTCTAGTAAAGTAAAAGACACTAGCTTACTATTTTTGAAAGTGTAGGGTTGGCTGCTAGATATTTAGGCATACGTCAACCTAGTATATCCCTATATATAAAAGATAAAAAAGATTAAGCAATTTAAATGTCTAATCTTTAATTTTATATGATAGCAAAAAATTATCTTTAGTTAAACTAGAAAGCGTAAATATAGATCAAAAATATTAACTAAACGTTTTTATTGTATTTATTGTATTTATTGTTCACATCTAAGTGATATTTTAAATCTTATTAAATATTTTGGTATAGACCTTAATAGGTAAATGAAAAATTAATGCTGCTTAAACTGTAAGTTAAATTTTTATTTATAGAGAGTTAAATTTTTAAAACAAAACAGTATATATAACATAAAGTAAAAATTTTATGTGCAAAATTTTATTAATAGTTTATATACCATTATTATATACTTAAATATATAAATTAATATAAATTTTTATATTTTTAATATAAATTAATTTAATTTTTTAATACAAATTTATTTAGTGTAAGTGAAAGTAAATAGTGTATATTTATTTATGTTAGTGTTTGTATATATTTTTAATATAGGAAAAGAATTTGTTGTATTATAGAGTACCTATCCCTCTTAATGTTTATTGTAATTAACCTTTTTTTTTATTAATGCGTTGTGTTTATTACTTTTTTTATAGTACAGAGAATATCCGATTTATCCTACCTTTAGTTATATCGACATATTGTAGGTAAATACTACCTATATCTTTAGTTATATTATCAATAAATCTTTTTAAATATTGTATTATTTGGTTCACTGTATATTTTACAACATAAAATATAATAATGGTAATATAATATATGAAACAATAAGAATTAGTTATATTACAAGATAATACACAAACAGGAGGGGTAACTTGGAAAATAAGTTTAAATTTAAAAATTCTGCAAGTAAACGAATTTTGTTTCTCGCAAAATAGTCTATATACTATCATTTAGTAATATAAAAATACAATTATATTTAAAATTTTTATTTTTTAATTTATATTAGATTCATATAAAATACTATGTAAATTATATAAAGCATTTATGGTAAATCCTGTTCTTGATTATATGCAACAAGTTGCTTATCAATCAGACGTTATTTTGGTACTTATTAATAATTTCGACCAACTAAGTACATATCATCTTATGTCTAATTTTTCAAAAATCTACATAGATTTTAATGCTAAAGCTTCATTTGTCTCTGATTCTAATAATATAGCATTAGAGGATAAAATAAACAAAGAAAATAGTAGAATAGCTATGTATTTAGAAATGATGGATCTTAGACACCCTATAATGAGAAGTCATGTTAGATGACCACTAGAAGGTGGTAACGCTGATGGTATATATACTCGTACTTATGGTAAATTTTATACAAAAGGTTAACTATTTATCTCAGGTATATCTATAAATCCTGTTTTAATAGGGCAATTCTTTTCATATGCTATCTTAGGTTTTGCCTTTTCAGAGGCTACAAGCATAATTATAGCTACGTCATAAATAATGATGTTAAGAGAGCTTAGCTTAATAGGTAAAGTATGTGACTTTTAATCACCATGATATGGGTTCGAAACCTGTAGCTCTTAAAGAAAGTTAGTAAATAGATTAACTTTTTACTATTGATATATAATATAAATAAAAAAAAAAGATGAATTTGTCACTAATACTATTTTTAATAGGTATATTAGGTTTTGTTTTAAATAGAAAAAATATTATTTTAATGCTTATATCCATTGAAATTATGTTACTAGCTATTACATTCTTAATTTTAATAAGCTCATTAACTTTTGATGACATATTAGGTCAAATATATGCCATATATATTATCTCTATAGCTGGAGCAGAATCTGCTATAGGTTTAGGTATATTAGTAGCATTTTATAGATTAAGAGGAAGTATAGCTATAGAATATAAATAATGTATTTATCAATAATAATAATACCCTTATTAGGGTCAATCTTGTGTGGGTTTTTTGGTAGAAAAATAGGAGTAAAAGGTGCACAATTAATAGCATCTAGTTCTATATTAATAATAACAATTTTAGCAATAATTGTATTTTTTGAAGTAGGATTTAATAATATACCTGTATCGATTGAGGTATTTAAATGAATTGATTCTGAATCAATAAATATATGATGAGGTTTTAATTTTGATAGCTTAACAGTATCTATGTTAATACCTGTATTAATTATTTCATTTTTAGTACATATATATTCAATAGGTTACATGAATAATGATCCACATAATCAAAGGTTTTTTAGCTATTTAAGTTTATTTACTTTTATGATGATTATCCTAGTTACAGCTAATAACTTCTTATTAATGTTTGTGGGATGAGAAGGTGTAGGTATTTGTTCATACCTTTTAGTAAGTTTTTGATTTACTAGAATAGCTGCAAACCAAAGTTCCATTTCAGCACTTTTAACCAATAGAGTAGGAGATTGTTTTTTAACAATAGGTATGTTTGTTATGATATGGTGTTTTGGTAACATTGATTATTCAACAGTATTTTCACTATCTCCGTATATGAGTGAAAATATAATTACTTTAATTGGTGTTTGTTTGTTAATTGGTGCTATGGCTAAGAGTTCTCAAGTAGGATTACATGTTTGATTACCTATGGCTATGGAGGGTCCAACACCTGTTAGTGCTTTAATACATGCCGCTACCATGGTAACAGCAGGTGTTTATTTATTAATGCGTGCTTCTCCTTTAATAGAATATAGTTCAACAGTATTAATACTCTGCTTATGAATAGGTGCATTTACTACTGTATTTAGTTCACTAATTGGTTTATTTCAACAAGATATTAAAAAAGTTATAGCATATTCTACAATGAGTCAATTGGGTATGATGGTTATAGCTGTAGGTTTATCTTGTTATAATATAGCATTATTTCATTTAATTAACCATGCTTTTTATAAAGGATTACTTTTTTTAGGGGCAGGTGCTGTAATACATGCTGTATCAGATAATCAAGACTTTAGAAAATATGGAGCATTAATAAAATTTTTACCTTTAACATACTCTGTTATGTTAATAGCATCTCTTAGTTTAGTTGCATTTCCATTTATGACAGGGTTTTATTCTAAAGATTTTATACTTGAGTCAGCATATGGGCAATTTTATTTTTCTAGTACAGTTGTATATTTTATAGCTACTATTGGTGCTATGTTTACTACCTTGTATTCTATTAAAGTTTTATATTTAACTTTTTTAACAAATCCTAATGGACCTTTAATTAATTATAAAAATGCACATGAAGGAGATATTTTTATGAGTTTACCTTTAATTATATTAGCCTTGTTTTCTATATTTTTTGGTTATATAACTAAAGATATTTTTATAGGATTAGGTTCTAACTTTTTTTCTGATAATAGTTTATTTATACATCCTTTAAATGAAATTTTATTAAACACTGAATTTGCTGTACCTTTACTATTTAAACTAATACCTTTAATATTTACTGTATCATTAAGTATACTTTCTATATTTTCCTTAGAATATTTAGAAAAACTTGTAGTAAACTTTAAATTATCTAATTTAGGTTATAATATATATGGTTTTTTTAATCAACGGTTTCTAATTGAACTTTTCTACAATAACTATATAACTAACTTAATATTAAAGCTAGGAGGACAAACTACTAAAGTTATTGATAAAGGTTCGATAGAGTTATTAGGTCCTTATGGTCTAGAATTAGGTTTAGTTAATTTAAGTAGAAATATAGCAAGTTTAGATACAGGTATTATTACATCATATGCCTTATATATTTTAATTTGTTTAATTTTTTATATTTTAATCCCTTATTTATCTATTATAAATAGCATATTATTAATTATAATAATATTTGGATTATTAACTATCACTAGTTAAATTAAATAAAAAAGATAAATAATAAAAGTTTTCTATATATCTAATATAATTTTATATTTATAAACTTACTTTATTACCTTTAAAAGGTAATGTTTAAATAAAAAAGTATAATATTAAAGTTATGTTTCATAGCTCTTTAGTTAGAGTATATTATAAATATATTATATATATATTATAAATATATTATATTTTTATATATATTATAATTAATAAATAATATTTAATAAAAATAGTATAATAAAACAAATTAATATAATAATATATTAAATATTACTATAAAAAATGATAATACTTAAAAGTAATCCTTTATTAAGATTATATTTTTATTTACTGGTTGCTGCATTACTACACATTGCCATTGTTTTGCTATATATTTATTTAAGGGTGAATTAATTACAACAGTATATGCAGATGTAGCCCCATTAACAGACCAAGTCTATAGTTTTTGAAATTGTTTTAAAAAAGCTATGACGGCTGCCGCACAGTGTAGTAATTAAAGTTAAATTACATTTCAAGAAATAATGGATGAAAGATATCTATTTCATGAAACTAGGCAACATATATATAAGACTCTTGTTAAGCATATATGTCCTACTATGGGTATAGGTTTTATAGCCTTTACTAATCAAGGTGGTAACTTTATACACCAGCTTTAAAACAACTATTAAATTGGTAAACATAAATATAATAAATATTATATATATAATATATTTGTTAAATTTAAATAGTAAATAATATTTAATAAAATTAAGAAATTAGCTTAATAGGTAGAGCAGCCGTTTTACACACGGAAGATTGGGTGTTCAAATCACTTATTTCTTATTTATAAAATTTAATAGCTTCTATAGCTCAAAGGTAGAGCAGGTTACTGTTAATAACCCTATATATGTTCGATTCATATTAGAGGCGTAATTTAAGCGTGTTAATTTAATGGTAGAATATTATGATACGGCCATAATAGCATAAGTTCAAATCTTATACACGTTGTATATTTATCTTACTTTGTGATTATTATTAGAAAGTCAACAATCACTTAAATAAATAATTTAAGTAAAAACTTTGGTATTTTATAGAAAATAAAGATTATAAAAATTATAGATTTGTTATATGATTATGAGAGATAAGGCCTTTATACGCTTTTTAAAAAGATAAATTAATATTTATTTAATAGAAACATCCTTATTTATATCCAAAGTAATTTAAATAAACATATTTTGTATATATACCTATATATTTTTATTTATACATAGGGATATGTAGTAAAAGGTTTTACACTCTAATTGCAGATTAGATAAATTAAAGGTTCAATTCCTTCATATCTCTTTATAGATTTATGTTTATATATTTTTTTTTATCAAAAACGATATCTAGTTAACTTTCATACATATTTTTAACATTTAATTAATATATATATTTTACTTGACTAAAAATAAGAGAGTATTGAGTATTAAAATACGAATATTTATCTATATAATTATAAAGTCTAAATTTACTTATTCAATTTTTTAACAAAATGCTTAATTATAAAATACTAAAAAGTAGTTCAATATCATTATGAATGGAGAGATGGTTTTTATCTTGTAATGCTAAAGATATAGGTACATTATATTTAATATTTGCATTATTTTCAGGTTTAGTTGGTACAGCTTTTTCTGTACTGATAAGATTAGAATTATCGGGTCCTGGTGTACAATATATAGCAGATAACCAATTATATAATAGCATAATAACTGCACACGCAATAGTTATGATATTTTTTATGGTTATGCCTGCAATGATAGGAGGTTTTGGTAATTTTTTATTGCCTTTATTAGTTGGTGGTCCTGATATGGCATTTCCTAGACTAAATAACATAAGTTTTTGATTATTACCACCTAGTTTAATATTATTCTTATTTGCTAGTGTAATAGAGAATGGAGCTGGAACAGGTTGAACTCTTTATCCTCCTTTATCTGGTGTACAAAGCCATAGTGGGCCTAGTGTAGATTTAGCTATATTTGCTTTACACTTATCAGGAATAAGTAGTTTATTAGGTGCTATGAACTTTATAACTACAATACTTAATATGAGAAGTCCTGGTATAAGATTACATAAATTAGCTTTATTTGGTTGAGCTGTAGTAGTAACAGCTGTTTTATTATTATTATCTTTACCTGTGCTAGCTGGTGGAATAACTATGATTTTAACAGATAGAAACTTTAATACATCATTCTTTGAAACAGCTGGTGGTGGAGATCCAATATTATATCAACATCTTTTCTGATTCTTTGGTCATCCAGAAGTTTATATATTAATTATACCAGGTTTTGGTATAATAAGTACTACAATATCAGAAAGTTCTAATAAAACGGTTTTTGGATATCTTGGTATGGTTTATGCTATGATGTCAATTGGTGTTTTAGGTTTTGTTGTTTGAAGTCAATGGCTGGCTTTCCCCTTTAGTGATTCAGGGGTAATAAATTTCGCTATATGCTGGAACATCTTAGTGTTTATAAGTACTTTTTATAGTAAAAATCTTATAAGCTATGGTCAATCAGCAGGAAATCTTAATTATGGTAGAGATACTATGATTGACAAGAGTTCCTCAGAGACTACACGCGAAACATCTTTTAATTATACTACTTTTAGGAAAAAGGTTAAAAACTCAGAGCATCTATCTGATAACTGGTTATCTTGATTTATTGGTTTTACAGAAGGAGATGGTGCTTTTATTACATATAAAGGTTCATGTAGTTTTGTTATAACTCAAAAAGAGGAAGCTATATTAGATCAAATTAAAGGTACTTTAAACATAGGTATGGTTAAAAATTTTGGTAAATTTTCTCGTTATACAGTAAGAGATAGAAAGTCAATTGAAATGTTAATACATCTATTTAATGGTAATGTTTTCTTTTCTAAAAGAAAAACACAACTTGATAAATGATTGGAGATATTTAATATACCAAAGATAGAATCTAATATAAAACCTTCTTTAGCTGACTCTTGATTATCCGGTTTGATAGATGCAGAGGGTTGTTTTAATGTTACTTTGTTTAAAAGAAAAGTTATGGCTTTAGGTTATCAAGTTAAGTTAAGATTTATGATAGACCAAAAGGATAGTTTGAATGACATGTTATATTTAAAAGATCAATTAGATTTATTTTTAACATGTAGAACGGAGACTATGCATAGAATAGAATCTACTTCATTTGTTAAAGTTCCTTTAGTTATTAGTTATTTAGATAAATTTAATCTTAAAACTAAAAAAAAAGAGTCTTTTTATAAATGAAAACAAGTTTATGAAATGGTATTAAATAAAGAACATTTAACTAATGAAGGATTAGATACTATTAGAAAGTTAAGTAAACAAGTTAATTTAATAACAAGTGTAACAAGAAAAACAGGAAGTAAATAAAAGATGAAGATATAGTCCACAGGATTAGTAATAAATTAATCCTTTGCACCATATGTATACAGTTGGTTTAGACGTGGATACAAGAGCTTATTTTACAGCTGCTACATTAATAATAGCAGTACCAACAGGTATAAAAATATTTTCATGATTAGCTACTTGTTATGGTGGATCCTTACAATTAACACCTTCAATGTTATTTGCTTTAGGTTTTGTATTTATGTTTACTATAGGGGGTTTAAGTGGTGTTGTTTTAGCTAATGCTTCCTTAGATATTGCTTTCCACGATACATACTATGTAGTTGCTCATTTTCATTATGTTTTAAGTATGGGTGCAGTCTTTGCATTATTTAGTGCATGATATTTCTGAATACCTAAAATACTAGGGTTAAATTATAGTGTATTTTTAGGTAAAGTCCATTTTTGAGTATTATTCCTAGGTGTTAATCTTACATTTTTCCCTCAACACTTCTTAGGTTTACAAGGTATGCCGAGAAGAATAAGTGATTATCCTGATGCTTTTGCGGGTTGAAATCTAGTAAGTAGTTTTGGATCTATTATTTCTGTAATAGCTACTTGATTGTTCTTATATATATTATATGTACAATTAACTAAAGGTAAATCTATTTCAAGATATCCTTGATATACACCATTATTCTTTAGTGATTTTTTACAATTATTGTTAAGTAGATGTGTTAATAGTCTAGAATGATGTTTAAATAGTCCACCTAAACCTCATGCATTTGTAAGTTTACCATTACAATCCAGTCTGTAACTTGATGCCATATTAGCTATAACATATCAAGGCGATATTCTTACTGTGGCCTTGGAAAATATGTCTATGACGGATTTAATTCAGATAAAAGGAAAGATGGTACAAGTCTACGAGATTTGTAATAATAATGCATCAATGGCTGCTGAGATAAATGAGGATTTAGAAGAAAAAGCAAATCAAGGTACAATCAAAGCAGCTAATTATTTAAAAATTATATCTGCAAGACAACCTATTTACAAAAATTTGCGTAGTTGACCCCTAAGAGAGGATTTATTTAAATAATATGTAGATTTAAATTAAATTTATACTAACACTTTTAATAGTCATATTGGGTTTTATAAGAAAATCTCTACAAACGATGGTAGTATAGCGCATAATACCAAATATGTAAAAAAAAAATTATAAGAGAATTGACCGAGGGGTTTAAGGTGATAAGCTTGAAACTTATTTAGTTTAAAAACTACATCCGTTCAAATCGGATATTCTCTGTATTATACGGGTTAAAGCCAAGTAGGTTAGGCACCTCATTTGGGATGAGGCATTGTTATGTTCAAATCATAATAACCCGAATAACAATAACTAATTAAGTATAATGTAAAAAAAAAAATAAATAAAAAAAAAAAGAATGTAATGTATTTACATAATATATTTATCTTTATTAATAAAAATTTTATAAAATATTGTTAAATATATATTTTATAAAAATCTTATTATATAAATTTTCTTATCTATTATTATCAAGTGGAGTTACTATTAGTATTTATAACATGAACAACAGTATTTTATTAAATTTAACAACATATTTATTTATATTTTTATTTATGTTTTTAATAGAAATTGAGAATAATTATTGTGATCTTGTTACATCCGATAAGGATAAATTTAGTTATAATTTTTTATGTATAACCCCTACTCCTGTTAATATGTTTCCATCTGAAAAACCTAAACTTAGAATAGATACTAATCCTAATAAAACAAATAACGAAGGTTTAGATGCTGAAACTGCTTGAAGAAAAAAAGCAGGAAACTGTGAACATGAAAAGCTGTCTATGTACCAAGCAGATGAAAGAGATACCACTGATCCTAACTTGTGTGACATGGCTTCAGATTTTGAATCAGAACAAGGTAAATCTATCCAGGATAAAGAAATAAAGCCTAATAGACATCCCGCGGTAGAAAGAGAAGGGGATTCCTGTTATGTATGTGATATATGTTTTGCACTTATATGTAAAGATTGTAGAGATGAAGATGCTCCTTCATATCCAGGTACACCTACAGCTGAACAAGTAAATTTCCCTGAAAACAACAAAGATAATAAGGAGGGTTCTATGAATGAAGAAGTAAATTGCCCTGATAATAATAATAAGGAGAGTTATATTTATAAGGAAGAAAATAAAAATAAAAAGGAATCTTTATTAGATGAATTCGCGGATTTAAGTACAGAATTCCCTGACTATATAGGATCAGATGATTAATATATTAATCAATGAGCAGGTATAACTTACTACGTATGTATTAAGTATGGGAGCTGTATTTACTACGTGATACTTTTTTTACCTAAATTAGTATGATTAAATTATAGTATATTTATATAAATATAGTATTAAATAAATTTATAAATACATAATAAAGGTTTTATTCTTTTAAAAATACAATGATATCTTTTTTATTTATTAAGATAGTATATTAATAAATAATTTTATTATATACACTCCCTTATCAATTATTATCAAGTGGGGTTACTTCCAGGCAAGATAAAAGTATTCTATATTCAAGGTCTACAATACTATTATTTTCGTATGCCTTTATACAAAATTATTTTACTTTGTTTTTTCAAGAAATAAATAAAGGTGTAGGTCTTTACAGTGGTTTATTTAATATAACATCTAATAGTACATATTTTCATCTTTTTATTTTTTTTTTAAGTATTTTAATCTTAAATTTAACAAGCTTTTATCCTAGAAAGTTTGTTAGTACTACCTCTACTTTAATTAGTGAAAAGATAATAGAAAAGGATGAAAGCAATAAAAACATAGAAGATGAAGTAAGTAGTGAAAGGAATAACAAAGAAAACTCTGGAAGAATAATCCTGAATCAGAAAACTCAAAATCAAAAAATATTAAATAAATATGGAGAACAATTTAAAATAATTGAGTATTCACTTATAATACTTTTTGTTATAATTGGATCTATACTGTTAATTAGTAGTAACGACATAGTATCTATTTTTTTATCAATAGAATTGCAGAGTTATGGGTTATATTTATTATCTACATTATATAGAAACTCCGAATTGGCTACATCAGGTGGTCTTACCTATTTTTTATTAGGTAGTTTATCTTCTTGTTTTATTTTATTAGGTATAAGTTTATTATATGCAAACTCAGGAATTACTAATTTAGATGGACTATATATAGTAACAAGTATATCTGAAATTGTAAATAATAGTAATTTATCTAATTTGGTATGATATAAACCATATTATATACACTTTTCTTTACTTATAATGAGTATAGGGTTTTTATTTAAGGTAAGTGCAGCACCTTTTCATTTTTGAGCTCCAGATGTTTATGATGCTATACCTACAATAGTTACAACCTATGTAGCAATAATAGCAAAAATTTCTATATTTATATTTTTTTTAGAATTGACTAATTATACTAGTAATTCTTTATTTAATTTTAATATAAGCTGGAGTTTAAACTTATTAATTAGTTCTTTTTTATCATTAATTATAGGTACTATAGTAGGATTAACCCAAACTAGAATAAAAAGATTATATGCTTATAGTACAATATCACATTTAGGTTTTATATTATTATCCTTAAGTATTTACAGTATTGAATCAATACAAGCATTTATTTTTTACTTAATGCAATATTCATTATCTAATCTAAATGCTTTTATAATACTAATTAGCATAGGTTATTCTTTATATCATTATGTTAATACTAATAAGAAATATGAGAGTTTATTAGACAAAAATAACTCACCAATACAATTAATTAATCAAATAAAGGGATACTTTTATATAAACCCTATAATGGCTTTAAGTTTAGCAATAACCTTATTTTCTTTTGCAGGTATACCACCTTTAATAGGATTCTTTGCCAAACAAATGGTATTAAGTGCTGCTATAAACAATGGTTATATTTTTATGTCCTTAGTAGCTATTATAACAAGTGTTATAAGTGCTGTATACTATTTAGCTATTATAAAACAAATGTTTTTTGATACAACAGAATATGAGATAAGTAGTGATATAAAAAATATTACACTATCAAGCTCATTAACAATTATAATTTCAATAATAACATATATAATATTATTATTTATCTTATTACCCAATGAATGAATCAACACAGCAGGAATTCTGTCACTTGTATTATTTAATTATTAAATGTCTAGTATAATTTTTTTTCTTATTTTTATTCCTTTATTGGCTTTTATTTTATTATTTATTAATTTAATATTAGCACCACAGAACCCTTATCAAGAAAAAGATAGCCCCTTTGAATGCGGTTTTCATTCGTTTTTAGGTCAGAATAGAACACAATTTAGTATATCTTTTTTTATATTTGGATTATTATTTTTATTATTTGATTTAGAAATATTATTAGTATACCCCTATGTTGTAAGTGCATATATTAATAATATATATGGATTAATTATTATTTTAGCTTTTTTTATTATATTAACTTTAGGGTTTGTATTTGAATTAGGTAAGGGTGCATTAAAGATAGATAGTAGACAAATGTTTTCTACTTTTAGTAAAATAATTAGTATTAAAATATGAGTGATTAAGAATATAAGAAGCCGTGTATATAATAATAATAAATGTTAAAAAGATTAGGTAAGATTTTATTGAATAAAGGTATTTTTTGTTTAAACTTGGTACGGTTTTATTTTATAACGCATTTTTGTGTTATTGTTTTATTATTCCCTTTTATATTAATATTTGTTTTTAATGATGCTATTTTTTTTATATTTTTATCTAATAATATATTAGAATCTTTTTTTCTTTACCATTTTGTAGAGGACCTTTCTTATTTATTAGCTAATAGTGACTTTTTTAATATGACAGATTTTTTTTTTCGTCCTGATAATGATGGGGATAATAATAATTTTCCTGGTATGGAGGATTTTCCTGGTATGGAAGAATCATCAAACCCTGATCAATCTGATCGTGAAAATTGACCAGATCCTACCTGACCTGATGCTCGTAATTCAGAAAGCGATGTAGAGGATCCACCTGAAATTTATTGTAACCATTGTTATGATAAAATTGAGCATCCTGAACGTTATGAAGACGGTAATACCGATATTGATAATATACAATTAGAGGTAGAGGATCCGTCTTTTGAATGCGTTAATTGTGGTAGACATCATGGTAGTCCTGTTACACCTTATGTTGAAAATCCTAGTCAGGAACAAGATAATGTTAGTGAGATGGATTTAGATGAAAGTAATGATAATAATAGTGAAAATTAAATAAAATTATAAATTTAAATTTTGTATTTACTATTTTTTTTTTATTAGGAAGGAAAAAATACTTAGTTTTAATTATAATTAATTTTATTTACTTTCTTTAGAAAAAGGAGGTTATTTTTGTAAAAGTTACTTTTTATTTTTTCTTTATAGTATTGTTCTTTATTCAAAAAAAATATCCTTGTTAGCTTCACAATTTTCGATCATAACCCGTAAAATGTTTAAAATAAATAAATAACGATATAGCATAAGAATCGCTTTATTACCGAGGTCAGGGTTCTTTTGTTCTATTTCTTTCTATTTGGGGTTCTACTCTTAATGGTGCGAAACGCAGTGGTTTTTAAATATAATAATTATTCTTATGATTGACTTTCAGTATAGTTCTTTTGATTACAAATCTTTTATTAACAAAATAGGCTCTCAGGTTTTTAAGTTAGGTGTTCGTTATTACTTGTGTGTACGTTTAGGTACCAAACTTATTGGTTATGTTATTTATTTTTGTATATACAAACCTGAAGACAAGGAGATTGTTATAATGGATCTTTATAAGGAGCTTTGTAGCAGGATTCTATACTTAAAGATTAAGTATCCTGATATTGAAAAAAAAAAGTATTTTTATGTTTGTATAGACGATAATATATTGAACATTCTTTAATTTTTGTTTTTTGTTATATCATCTTTTAAGATGTATTGAGGTTATTTTGGTGTTAAATAAATTAAAAAAATATTTTTTCAATATTTGTTGCTCAGTATTAAAATAGGTTTTAGATATGAACTATTAGCTTCTATATAACCTATCTATAATTCATTTGTTTGTAGATCTTTAAGGTTTTTTGATCTATTTGTGTTTTATTGTGCATAAGTAATTATGTATATGTGTTTCCTTTATACATAATCTATGTTATTATATTATTATATGTATATAATATAATAATAGTATTGTTGTTCTTTTTAATTAATTTATTTTTTTTTTATATGGATTTGATAAAGCCTGAATACAATAACCTGAAGAGTGCAATATCTGTTTTAGGTTTAAAACATACTAAGGATACTACTATTGAACGTTTACGTTTATTAGGTATAGGTTGTACACATATAGAATAAACAAAACTTAAAATTGCAAAAAGTAATATTAAGGCAAATCCTGTAGTTTTTAAGAAACAATAAAACAAATGAAAGTAAATAATAGATAGATATTACAAAAGCCGCATAATACATAGTGTTATTCCATTCTCGTTATTATCTTGTAAAATGCTTTCGTAAAAACAATATATACATAGGTAAGGTATATACTATTACAAATAAAATAAATAAAAACTCTATTTTTTTTTTTTTT